ATATATATATATTGTTTACAGGACGCATGTATACTATTTGTATATATTTGTTATTAGGATATATATACAGCAACAGTAATTCATATTTTCACTTTTTCAAAATATTAATGATTGTTTAAAAACTTTTAACTTCCTCTTTCTTCAACATTTTTTTTGATATACAAGTTACATGTAATAAAAATTTATAAGAATCTTATGCGTGTCAATTTGTAACATTCTGTTCAATAACGTTTATTCGTATTTCGTTACATTTTCAAATACTCAAGTCAGTTTGTCAATATTAACTAGCGAACCAGAGGACTTCTTAATGTCGCCTCTACAGTAGTCTGCTATAGATCTGAAATGTGAACAGCTCAGTTATAAATCTGCTGTGGACAGACATTTACATTATTTCTGTTACAAGAAGCAACACACTTCATTTCTAAATTGATATTATACGTCGAACAAAATATCCCACCATGAGTAATTTTTCTAAAGTAATCGATGTGAACGAATTCAATCCACGTATTAATATTAATGATTATAATAGCTTCTTTCACGAAAACTTTTGCCACATCTGCAAGAAAGTAAACAATGGATCTTTTATATCATGTAATCGGTGCGATATGATCTCTTATTGCACTCGTCAACACAAATTGATGCATCGTCCATACCATATGCAGATTTGTGAAAATATAAACCGATTTTTACGAGAGAATGAAATACGTCGAGACTGTGCTTTAAGTTTAACTAATTGGATCACGTTAAGACAACAATTTTTAAGCTCAATTAAAAAATGGATTCCACGTAAGCTAAAGACGTATGAAGAACAGATGATTCTTTTTGCAAAATCATGCTCTATTTGTCATAGACAGATTAATTTGTTACACTGTACAACGTGTTATTCGGAATATTGTTGCATTGACCATGTACAGTTATTTCAATATTTGCATGAGCAAAAATGCCAACAGTTTGTATTATATATCAACACTAATATCGTGACTAGTGCAAACAAATTCACTGTGTTAAAATTCACTAATCTTATTAATCGAAGAATACCTTTTAATGACATGAATACATTTATTAGATTATATGGGCGTCCTACCGGAAGATACAACAGTATAGCTGCAATATATTATAAATATTTCTACAGTGATTATATATCAGGACCGCTAACATTATATTATGGAATGGATATTGCTGGTTTACTAGAACCACTCATTTTTTCCGCACGTTCAATACATGAATTTAAATGCGTTATTCACGTGGTAGCACTAAATTCCTTAGAAAAGGAGCATGTAAATGCTTGGGAAATATTTATACATCTCACGCATTACATAAAGGATCTAACAATTATACTAGTAGGACCAAATTTTGAACAGGATCATTATGACAAAGAACTTTGTTCTTATTGCAAGAACAGATGTATAATGCTCCATATTGAAATTTATAGTACATTTTACCATATGTATGTGGCCGGTCCGTCTTTTAAAAAACCAAATATAATTGTAGAATTTCAAGCAGATTTTAGTAATGAGTGGACATGTTCGCGAAGCATATTTTTATCACGGATTAGACACTGTCCGTTAATTTTAACTACCACATCGGAAGAAAAAGCAGAACAGAACGTGTCTATTTTAAAACAAATTTTAGGTTCGCATTTAGAACCTCTCCATAATGCTAAAAATCCTTTTAGATCTTGGAGACCGTGGAGGGATTTGGAGACTGGTTCTGTATATTTTCGTAATCATTATGTAACTGTCTATCGTAACACACATGTTTTATGGAGACCTTTCTAAACGATTTGGAATATTTGTATATGATTTTAGCATTACGTTGATAACATTACTATATATGATATAAAATATGTGTTATTTGTACAAACGAATTATAAATATTTTTAATAAAAGGCACTTTTTATTGTACTTGCGATGTTTTTATTTAATAGTCACTGATATTAATGAACT